TATATATAAAGTTATGTTCTGAAGTTTACTATATTTACTTTTTTTTTGAATATTCTGGTATTAAATTTTGTCCACACATCCCTACCAAATCCTAAAAACGAATCTACCACTTTGGAATCCAATACCTTAAAATAAAATGATCCAATTTAAATGAAAATATTCCCATTAGAACCCACGAATCTTATGATAATATTTCATTTAAATTGGGATCATTTGATTTGTAGGGTATGTACTACATATAGCTTGCGTCTAATTAAAATCCATGAAAAAGAAACCAATTTTTTGACTTTTTTACTATTTTTACAAGCAATATTATCAGATATAAAGTTAATATAACACTATCTTTTTTGAAATTAGTATCTTTAAAAGGCTATTCGCTCAAATAATATCATTTTTTGACATTAAAATTATAGTTATGACATAAATTATCTCCAAACTAAGTTTTCCCGCCGAAATTCTTTAAGTTAATTAAATGGCATAGTTATTAAAAACCAAAATTTTTGCGGGCTTATTTTTTTAATTTAAGCAACGTGCATATAGCTTGTATCGGTAACGGTCGAAATCCCGAATCTCGAACGTTCATAAGTCCGAAAGATCGAAATCCCGAATGAACTGAAATATCGAATTAACAAAATCCCGAATGAACGAAATCCCGAATGAACGAAATCTCGAATATTGAAATCCCGAAAGTATAGTAAATATGTGAAGGGGAGCCAGTAAAAATCAAGCAAATCGGTAAAATTAGTATTTTAAGTTCTGCATTTATATAATTGATATGCAAAAAAAATTTTAAACTGTAATTCTATTATCGTTATGTAAACTCGTTCATTAATTGAAAAATGGTTAGCATATATGTTTTTATTGTTTTATTATAAAAAATGAATTTTGATTTGCTTGATTTTTACTGACCGCTCCCCATGTATACCAAAATGCACGAAAATACTAAAATTATCACAATTTCGAGATTTCTTATTTTCGAACGTCGTTCTTTCGGGATTTCGATCTTTCAGGCTTATGAACGTTCGGGATTTCGTGATTCAGAATTTCGTACCAGACCCAGCTTGTATACATATGCCACATTATCCCACAGAAAAATACATATTATACTTCCGCAGAAATAATTTCATAATATCAAATTTCTAAATGTTGTCTACGTATGCACTACAAGATCGATCTAACTTCCCTACCAATCGAAAATTTCAAAGAGTCAGCTTTTATTTCATAAAATCTCAAGATGTTCATTTTTTAAGACAATTAAGAGAACGGTATGTTTTTCGGTTCTTCAATTGCGCGTATTTACAACATATGTAACCTATACCATATTTATCAAACATACATTTATTATTTCTACAGATTTTGCAATAATAAATGAAATAATAGGGGAAACAAAAACTCATCAAGACTTTGAAAAACTACGGGTAACGTTAAAAGAAATGGTGCTGCCAACATCCCGACATCATCTTCCCGACAATCCAACATCCCAATAAACTAACTTCCCGACAACCTAACATCCCGACAATCCAACTTTTCAAAATTTAAACATGTCTCTTCCTGACTTCCCAAAAAGCTTAATAATAAATAATAATACAATAAGAAAACGACAACTATTTTGTAAATAATAATACCAATGTTGACACAATAATAGGATAATACTAAGTCTACAGCATGTAATAATATATAGGATAAGACTTAAAAATAGTATTTTTATACATATTAACAAGGTCTACGTTGATGAGCACCGTTAAAACTAGGAAGGTTTGACCATTTTTTTAATTTACTACCTAACAAAATTGATTAAAATTAGTCAGAGAAATTACTGCATGAAAATTTTAAGGGAATACATATTATACTGCGCTTTGATCATATACTAAATCTAGATGTATTAAATATATAATGATCATCTGTATATTCAGAGTGAAATTGATCTTCTTAAAAATGTAATACAAAGCTAATCTGTTATACAGATAGTGCAAAATAAAGATCTAAGCTATAGCGTTAGTTGATGACGAAAAATACATGTACTTGATTTGCAAACAAATAAAGATTCATTGATATTTAGGACATGAAAAATTTCACAAAGGAAAATAGAGAATCGAATGGTTTTAGACTTTGTATAGGGGCGAAGAATTAAATATGCTGTTTTATTTGTTGTTGATGTTCGATAATATTTTCATTCATCGAAAAAATTAAAGCTTTTTGAGAATGCATTTCAAAAAATTTATTTTTCCTATCTTACATGGGCATCAATAGATAAAAACGCGAGTCAATTGCATGTACATGTAGAAGGATTATTAATTTATAGTTCAAATTGTTATTATTGAATATATTTCTAACTATTACAGTATATACTTTTTATATTGATATTGTATTATTAAACTAACAAATATAAATAAATAAATAAATAGTGATAGTAGGTTATTAAATTAGTAAATAGTAAAGACAATAATGATAATAATAATAAATTTTAATAATTTTATTGTTTTCGTCATTATCACAATTGAAGTAATTATCATAAGATATCTTCTACATATAATGAAATTATGATTATCTGTTTTATTTAACTATTGTCTCGTCTCGTGTATTTGTGTCTGTGCGGCTGTCTTTTAGTTTTTTCAGTTTGGAATTTCATCAAATTAAATGTAATTAGAAATAAATTCGTGAAAACGCTGGATTGAAACAATGAATTAATTGAACTTCTATTGTTTGCATGCGTAATTATTTCGTTCCGATTATCACAAACTTAAGGTCAGACCCCACGTTTTTGCACGGCTTTTGTCGATTCATATGCGTTTTACTTTATCGTACAGCATCTAATTTTATCTACGACGATACATGAAATACGATACTTGCCGCGCGTCGCAGCACAAACTGTAAAGTAGATGTTTGATAACTCAAAAGAGATCACCAAAACTGGAAATCAGAACATAGTAAAGCACACGGATTAACATGCAACTAAAACAAGAAGGTAATGTGGGGTGAGGTTTGTCAAAAAAGTGTGGGAAACCCACAAATTACCAAGTACAATGACAAAAGATAAGTTGTTGAAATGATAGCTCAACTGAAAAGAAGGGAAGGTAAAAACATCATTGTCTTTTCTCAAATTTACGGACGCAAAAAATGAAGCATGTTTAATGAGAATTAAAAAATCGTATACAAACATACTATATATATTTTATTTCCTTGTTGCTTCCACGATTTTTTTCCTTCGATTTCTCTCAAATTTTGGTTTGTTATTCTGCTCACTTTTACATCATACCTGACCTAAACAAGGTAAAACGCAACAAAAAAGAACACCCGCAAAGAAACGATGCACAATGAAACCCGATATGCAAGCACATAACGATATTGAAAGAATAATAACAACGTAATGATTGTTTAATTGAATATACAGTAGCGGTTAAAAGTAGCTGACCCCTTATAACTTTTTATACTAAAAATTTTTTATTTTAAACTTTTTAAAATAAAAAATTACTGTATTAAAATTTATATATTTATATTACATGTAATAACAAAAACTTAATATAATTTAAAAACTAAATTTTGGTATTAAATTATTTTTTATATACATATATAATAAAATTTAATAAATTCAAATTTTAATTTCTCAATAACTTTCTTATTAAATTATGTCAAATTTTTTGTTCCTAATATAAAAATGCTTAAAATTCAATACATTAAATTTTAAGAAATTTTATATTATAAATTATTAATATAACTATTTTTTATTGTATTTGATTGATATATTTTTATTAATGTAAAAAATTGATTTTAAAATTCAGCTCTCATTAAATTTTGTTATAATAATTATAAAGTATTAAAAAACTTATAGGATCTAGATTTATATTATATTATCTATGCTGAAAATTTCAAGACACTTAATCTTCAATTTAAAAAGTTACAGGGGGTCAGATACTTTTGACCGCTATTGTAAATAATTATAGTAGTAATTCCAATAGCTCTCAAAATGAATATTAATCAAGAAGAATTTTAAAAAAAAGAAAATTATTTTTAAGGAAAGTTCCTTAAACAATAACTACATCTTAAACTCTAACAAACGTGTAATCAAATCAATCACAATAACATACGACTTTTCTGAACAAAGGACTTTCACAGCTATGCTATATGTACATTTTCGTTTCTATAATTTATTATAAGAAATTATTAGATAATTAATAAGAAAAAATAAATTCATTGAACAAAAGTAAAAATATCGAAAGATATAATAAAAGACAAATCCAATATTAACAATAAAACATTTGCCCAAACAAAAGTTTATAATGAAAAAAGAGATAAAATAAGTCAGCAAACAAAACTAGATTGCATTATACTAATTTTTCTTGTTTATCAAAATGAAATTAACTTTTTAATAAATATTAATATATATGATGATTAAGCGGAAATGAGTCTATCTAAATTTTTTAATATAATTAATGGATTCAAGAACAGAACGAAATGTATAACGAACAAAATATAAGACGAAAGAGCACGAACGAACACAAAAATAAATCGAAATAAAAATACAAAATATATAATTATGAGAACGAAGCGAATACATGCTGAAAGACGAAAAGAACAACAATAAAGCGAAAAATTAAACAAAATGAATTTTTATATGTGATTCATGGATCAAGGACAGAACGAAATGTATAAAAATAAATCGAAATACATGTACATGACGAAAAAAATAAAATACATAATTATCGAATACATGGTGAAAGACGAAAAGAATAACAATAAAAGTGAAATTAAATTTTTATGCAAATGATGAAAAAAGAACAGAACGAAATACATGACGAAAGAAAACGAGATCATTTATAATATAGAACAAAATAACTAACGACGAAAGATAAATGGTGTATAGAACTAAAGAATAAAATGAATATGAAACCGAACATGATGAAAAATATAATTACGAGGATAAAACAAATACATAAATGAAGAAAGGAATGAATGAAAAAGTAAAGAAATTTTGCTCACTTAAATTTGTGTAAAGTGTATCTTTATGCGGAACATGTATTGACACCATATTTTTCTTTGAGTTGTTGAAAGTTAAAAAATCGACTTGTGTAAAACGCATCTTTATGAACTTCTTGTGATGTGTTTTTCCGTGTTTGAAAAGCCTCACATCTTCTTTCCTCAGCGTCATTAAATTCTTCACCGATTTCAGTTGGTGCTGGATTATCACAAATATCAGTCATCCAATTACTAAATGTTTCATTCAATTCAAATACTGTTGGTCGTTGTTTTGGATCAAATGCCCAACATCTTTTCATCAGATCAGTAAAACATTTCGGAGCATTTTCAATTTCCTTTGGTCTAATCCCATTACAAATATCCATTGCTAATGTGACATCATGCGCTCTCTCAGCAAACGGTTTTTGTCCAGTTGCAAGTGACCACATAATAAAGCCGAAACTATAAATATCAGCTTCTTTCGATTGATTTGCTCCAAGAAGAATTTCCGGTGCGATATAGGGAAGAACACCATATGATTTATCAGTTGTAATATCAACTGGTCCATGAATTCCTATATCAGCTATTCTTCCGCCAGTCGAGATTGACTCATCTTCAATCATTATATTCCCACCGTGTAAATTTCCATGATAGAGGCAAGATCGATAAATATTTTCCAAACCAACAGTAATTCCACATAATAAATCGATTTTATCTTTCCAGTTAATATCCTGGTTATTTTCAATGTATTGATTCAAATCACCATTCTCATAAAATCTCATTACAAATATAAAAGACCCGTTAGGGTCTTTCGTAATGCCAAATGTATCTGCTACACTACCCGCTTGGAGACAATGATGATATTTCCGTAGCTAGAAGTGTAAAAGGAAATAATATTTTTGTTAATTTTCTAACAAATTATTTTTATCAAATAAGAAATAATTGTTTACGTTTTCCAAGAATTGTTTGCTCAAGTTTTGCGAATTTTTAAGTTTTTTCAACGCGACTTTTATTGGTCCAACCCGTAACCAAGCTTGATTATCTTCATTCCAATCCCACTTAGGTCCTTCTAACCAAATGGCAGAATAAATTTCACTAAATGCTCCAGCTTTGTGAAATTCAATCTGTTTAAACCTATTGTAAGGAATGAATTCAAGATAATCGCCGCTTATATTTGCTTCTGCTTGGCTTTTTTGTATAATTAAATCAAGCTGCAAATTGCCAGTTGTCCAGCTTGAATAATTTTCTTTAAACCAAGTAGTCTCACAAGAGTTGCACCACGCAAGGTTAGTCCTAAAGTTTCCGCAATCAAAACATTTTTTATGTGTAATTTGCGCTTCGGTACGAAATTCATCCGTTTGGTTATTAGAATCCAAGTGGCTTAAAATCCTTAATTTTAATAGATTCGATTCGATTAATTATACATGTATTATAATAGGAAATCTATTAATACATGTACGTGATCTTCAGCTGATGTTTACATATTAAAAATAACATACATATTAAAAATAACATACATTTTTTTGAGCACTGAGCAAGTAATTTTGAAAAAAGAAAACAACGCGCACTTTTATAGTTTTATGCTTGTTTGACATGCTGATTAAACAAATGAAATATGCATCATTAATCTCTTCGAAATATTATCCAACAATCAAAATCAAGACGTTTTTTTTATGGTTGCTTGTATCTCAAAATTTTGACTTGTGTTCTAAATACATAATCTTTGTTTAATACCCTAATCTTAACCAAAATTTGTGTTATTAGTGCCACGATTCTTGGTTATGCTGACCTTTTCTCTCCTAATATATAAATTAAAAAAAAAATACGTACATTTTAGAACTGAGCACATACTTGAGAAGGCAAACACCGTATATTTATATTACTAACTAGTCTTATCACCACAAATGCAAAGAATGATACACAGAAAAATAAACATGCAAATTCTCAAATTATTTTAGTTATACAGAGCATATAGAGACTTTTTTTAATAAATTCACTGATTCATTTTAAACAGTTTTAAATATACATAACAAAAGAATAGCAATTTACTACTAAATTTCAGATGTATCTTTTTATTATTACTTTATATTAAAACGATTCATTTTTAGAAATTACCTAATAAATAATTTATCATTCTTCTTCAAACAAGTTGATTTTTTCACAAAAACACCTGTTTAAACTGTCTAATTCCCCGCTTTTGATAAATACTACCCAGACTATATTGATTATCATTTTCAGTTAAATTGTTAAATTCAGGACGTGTGAGAAAATTCAGGGCGTACGAGAAAATTCAGGACGTACGAATTCCTTTTTAAGTATACACATGCATATGTGTACGAATTCCCTTTTTAAATGTATACACAGATTTTAAATGAACATTTTCATGTATTTATTTAAAATGTATACCAGATTTCAAATGAACATGTACGTGTATGTATGCGCGGTCTTTATCTAAAAATCAGTTTAATAAAGTTTGGGCTAAAGTTTGATATACTCTGAATGTGCAAGTGTTATCTGATTCCAAAAACCAAATATTTTTTCTGAATTTCGTGTTGTAAATTTACTTCATAAAGTTTAAAAAATGCAGGGTCTTATTTATAGTAGTGCCGGAAAATTATCACGCGATAAAAATCATCTGATGTGGTGTGACCACAAGAGCAAATAAAAATCTAGCATATGTAAACAGATTTTGTGCGTTTTTCTTTCTTATATTTCTCACCAGCAACGACATCACAAATGGAAGTATCAAACAAACAATGGCAACGTGAAGTAATTCTACATTTGTGAAATAATAATATAAGAACAACCAGAGAAATATAGTAAAGAACAAATATTGACCTGTCCACTATCTATTATAACTTAAAAAAAAGAGAATATGACTTAAAAAAAGGTCAAGGGTAGATCAAAAAAAAATTATCAGCTTGATTGCTAGTGTAATAGATGTATATATATGATATAATTTCACAATTTCTATTGGTGGATTGATCAATAAATTGAAAGAAAACAGTTTCATAGTTGGAAGAAAAATAATTCAAACTTATCTCATTACTTGTGACTATAAAATTTCTCTCTTGCTACATCTATGCTTATAGATAATTATAAGAAAAAAAGAATTAAATAGATTCAAAAATATCTTAATAATGATGGATTCTGAATGTTTTTTTCTGATGAGATATCATTTCAACTATTTAGAAATATTATTACTCAGTAATATAAATATATTTGATTTACCTAACATATTTTTATGAACTGGAAAAAAATTTATGTATGAGATGGATTTTATATATATAGTAAAACAAGTCTTTACTGCTTTGTAGGAAAGATAAATATATAATTTTATGTTAAAATTCTCAAGAATAATTTTTTGAGATATTATTTCAATTATTTAGAAATATTATTACTTAGTAATATAAATATATCTGATTTATCTGGTATATTTTTATAAACTGATAAAAAAATTAATGCATGGAATGGATTTTATATATAATAAAACAAGTCTTTACTGCTTTGTAAGAAAGATAGATATATAATTTTATATTGAAATTCTTCAATAATTTTTTGAGATTGAAGAAATGATGAAAAATAATTAGTAATTCTAAAGGATAATAATTCAAAATTTATAAGTTATTTAGTAAAGATTTTTTTTTAAAGTAATATATTTATCATTATGAATTGGCTGTCAAATAGTTCTAATCTAAATTTTATTAAAAATTTGTGACCAATTACTAAAGAAATATGAAGGATCAGAGTCTAAAAGATTTGGAGAAGTTAGAAATATTTATAATCAAGAAATGGGAACAAATTCCAGATGAGATATTTGAATCATTAGTTAATTTAATGCCAAGATAATAATTAGAAAGAATAGTAAATTAATAAATTATTAATTTATATACCATTTGAGATCTTGTATTATTATTTTTTTAAATAAAAAAATAAAATGATTAGATTACCAGTTTTTAAGAAAATGTGATATAAATAATTTCTAGTATTATTATATATATTGGCTCGATACTAAGCTTTTATACATATATAAACTGCATCATAAATAAATTTTTCAATAAGCTAACTTAATAGAAGTTCATTTCTTAATAAAGTATAGTCTTCATTTTGTTTCTTACATGATTGTCAACATAAACTTGTCTTTAAATAAATCTTTATAATGATGACGTATTATCTATTACATATATAAGTATTATTCTCACAAAGAGAAGTAAATCCAGGTTCTATTATTATGTCATAAGTATCATCATTAGTAAATATTGAAATTGGATAAATAATACATATATAATACATGTATATGTAGATGCATTTAGCAACAAATACCTTTATATATGTATACTCTCTCACTATAGATGTATAGTTATCGAAATATCATAGATTTCTATGATTTTTAATAAACATTTAAATTATTTTGCCAATCCTTGTATTGATATTGCAAAGCTAATCTACCCGTATTTCACGTCCGAAAAAATCTTTGTTTTGAGAAAAATATTTAAAAACTAAAAAAACTAGAATTAAATTGCAATAATCTTAAATTATTGATAATCGATGCCATCTGAAATTGTAAAGAACTAACATAAATTATTTTATACAAATATCAACAATCTTAGCAGCCAGGCAGGCAGAAGTAAAAGTGCAAGCCTAATTCAAAGTTATGCCTCGTAACGATGATCCATGGGTCTGGTGTTGCAGTGTGTGTGGAGTCTGATCGTCATCGAATTATCGCGATTATTTTCGCGTTTGGCAGTCCAAATGAGAATTTTGATCGTACTGTTGAATAATCTGGATCGTTTCCTTGGAGTTGTGTCATTTTCACGGAGCCCAATTTGTTCGATTCGTACCAGAAACAATTTGAAGAGCAATACGAATATCGTTTTGTTGGATCGTTTGGATCCAATGTTGCCTCTAAGGACAATCAACGCGAGCACAATTAATTGAATTGCTGTTCCTGATTTCTTCAAGATCAAAATTTATTCGATCTTTACCTTTGTTGGGCGTAGGGTTATTGTCAAGAATAGCAACGTGGTTTACATTATTTTTTTCGTGATAGATGAATCAAATTGAATTCTACGATAAGGTTGTTTTTAAAGAAAATTCATTAAGCATGGAAACATCGGAATTTTGAATTCCAGGAATCATTTTATCCGAAATTTTTATGTGGTGATTCATTTAATTGATTAATAGAGGTAATATCGGCGTTGGGGAAGTGAGAAATCGCGAAAACATATTGAATTCATTAGAGTTTGGGCCGTTAAATTCAAATTGAGTAAATGATGACGTTGATGTTGTTGGTGCGAGGGAGTAAGATGGTAAATGGTGGGCAAAGTTTGAATATTAGTATTCAAAAAGAGATGTGATACGCCAATTGAATCTCGATCAAGACTAAAATACATGTAATCATAATTTTTAGCATTTTCGAAATCAGTGTTTCTAGCATATTTTGTGGAGAACTTGATTGCTCGTCAACAATTTCAGATTTTCACTTTTTCCCAATGCAATATATGAATTAATGAGCGCTGCATTCATCGTTTAATTTTCTATCTGATATTTTCGCGCGTCTATACCGATACGAAAAGAACACTCATTTATTTAAAAGAAAACGATTTCTTGCGTGATCAAAATAATAAAATGAACTCGATCTGGTGGGGTCTACCCCAACCAACATCCCGAAATTCCAACATTCTGACACCCAACATCCCGAAATTCCAACATCCCGATAACCCAACATCCCGACAATCCAGCATCCCGACAACCCAACTTCCCGACAAAAAAAGAATATAATTGATAGAGAGGGAAGATTATAAATGTTATTAACGATCGAGCAAATCGTTCAGCGTTAGATTTTCTTCATGGAATTACGCGCAATCTTTCTTTGTAATGATGTGTGTTGCTTTTGTTCTTTTATATAACAATTTCCTTAACTTTTTATTATAATAATTAAAATTTACGTTCAATTCCCTTTTATGTTAAATCAGTTGGTTATTAACGAATTAAAAATAAAGTTGCGCAATTACCAAGAATTATTTATCGCGTTGATGTTTAAATGTTAATAAATGCTAATTGTAAATCCCTATAATGGACTAGTTTGTCGGGAAGTTGGCTTTTGTTGGGAAGTTGCGTTGTCGGGAAGTTGGCTTTGTCGGGAAGTTGGGTTGTCGGGAAGTTGGGTTGTCGGGATGCTGGATTGTCGGGAAGTTGGGTTGTCGGGTGGGAAGTTGGGTGTCAGAATTTTGGATGTTGGGTGTCGGGATGGGCGGCACCCGATCTGGTGTGATCTTTCGAATTTCCATATATGAACTATCGTATCGTTACATCGCATCGTAATTACATGTAGTACGTGCATAAAAATTGTACAAGTGTCCTGCATTACATACTCGATTGACGTGTTTGTGAAAAGGTGTCCACATTTTTTTGTATGCTTCATATTTTTATAACAAAATTTATATGCACATTTTCTTATAGGGCAAGCATCAACAATGGATAACAATGACTTGTCGCAGAACGACTATAAAACATACAACAAAAATTTTTAAAAACTTTTAATTTGTAGTGTACTTGTCAAATTTTATGGTAAGACTCAAAATGAAAACCGCTTTCTTTGTATCTTGTCAGATACTCATCGACTAATCATTTATTATATAGTATATTTTAAAGAAAACATCATTTGTCTCATGTTAAGGTGGAACTTTTGTATGCTGCATCACTTACTATCCAGATATCAATAAAAATAATATGATTTGTAGGTTAGTTTAGTCTATTAATTTTATTTTCTAAAAATATATGGTGCGAACGGCCTAAAGACATCAAGTGCTGCGCCACCGCTAAAATTTGGGATGCATGAATTACGACACGATCATGTGATAAACTAGTCGTGTCAGAAAATATATCAGAAGCAATTTTGAGCTCTTAAAAAATTATTTTAAACATTATTTAGGAGACTCATATTAAAGACTTGTAAGATAAGTTGTTTCTTTCTTTTGCTATATAAAAAGACTTGTTCAGGAGGTAATGTTTTCTTCACTACATAATTATAAAATAATAAATAAACTCTCTTTCCTATGTTATTACCTTTCTTTTCTA